AGCATTCATATCAGACGACACAAGCCGGTCCTTAAAGGCTCAATACCACTCTTGTTGTAACTGAATAATATGTCCCAATCTTTATTCTGGTCAACAAATTGTACTATTTTAGAATATTTCAATTAATTGATGATACAAATTTCATCTTAACACAGCTTATTTAAAAATTTTGAAAAATTCAACATAATGGTTTGAAACGTCTAACATAAACCTTTTCAAATGAAACTTCGATTTAAAAATATTTTCGAACCCTCTGGACAAGTAAAATAGGATTTAATGGATAATTTACACAACAGGTAAGACACTACACATCTAGTACTTAGAATAAGGCCATTTTTTATTTTCTGGAGCTTTCAAGCCAGCAAGAGTGTTATTGTCCCTTTAACAAAGATGAGGGAGTCTACCTTCCCCACGCATACGATAGAATCATTTTCCAGTAGTTCATCATGTTATCAGGATTGTTGTTGTTACATTCTCACTATAATTGTATTCAATATAATAATCATGTATATCGGATTAACCCCTTATTATTATTTTTCATTATATAAGAATATGTATATTGGATTAGCCCCTTATTATTAATTCATTATTATTAGTATTTATGTATATACATGTATATGATCTAGTGCTTCGTATACTCATCTAACAACCCATCATTATACATTGCAAATATAAATGTTATCCAAATAATAGTTATGGTTTGTTTTTGCACACCTCATTGATTAATACTGATCATTAATTAACGCTTACTCCTAGTTTCTTCAGATATGTAATTAATTATGGCTTCGGTTTACTGTAACTACTTAGGGTTTTGTTATATCGCTTTGTTATATAGGTTCTGTAGGGGTCTTTATCAGAGGGGGGGACCCGGAGAAAACCCACGAGGTTGGATAGGCGACCCTATTCCTTGTCACGTATAACTGGGGAATCGAAACCATGACGCCAGTTGACTCAATGACAGACCTTATGATACAGCCATCCAACCCCCCTGAAATTATAGGCAAACTTAAGAATCCACCCTTAAAATAATTGTAATTCCACCGCATCAGTTTGATGACTTAAAGTGTCATTTTAAACAGATAAAGAACTTTTTTACCGCGAGGTGTTATCTCGTTACATGCTGGTTCTAATCGGCCTAATCGCCGCTCTTCTTCTCTTCTTTTCTCGTGCGTTTGACAGGGACAGTCTTTGGAACATTCCAATAGCGGAGACAAAAGTTTGATTTAGTCGGAATTAGATTTTCGTGACCGCAACTTGATTAATCTCGCTGGAAACCATCGGGTTATTCTAGCCTGAGCCGAACTTGTTGTCAACCTTTCTTATAGTTGTAGTTCTGTAAATGTGGCTTAATTGGTTTAATTAAACAATCTATTTTCTGAGCGTATTCTGTCTTTGATTTTCATTATAATGTACAATTTTGTACACCAATTGATTTAAATGGGGTTAAATTTGATTTATTTCCAGCTACAGAACTTGTTGGACCAAAGTATCGTTTGTTGGTTGGTTTCATGATTCAAATGTTTTATGCTATTGGCTATATGACATTATCAGGTATGGCGTATCTATTAAGGGAATGGAGATACTTAGAACTAGCTATAACTCTACCTGTTGTCCTCTTTGCTTCATACTGGTGGTATGTTTATTGTATTTATTATATTTACCTACTGGTGGTATGTATATTATATTCATTGAGTTTACCAACTGGTGTTATGTATATTATATTCATTATATTTACCAACTGGTGGTATGTATGTATATTATATTTATTATATTTACCAACTGTTGGTAGGCTATATATATTATATATTTACAACTGGTTGTATGTATATTCTATTTACCAATAGGCGGTATTTATCTTAATTTATATATTTACTTACGGAAACATTGAACACGGCTTGGTTGTATTTATTACGCTCAAATCGTGTACGTCTTACCAAAATATAGATATTTCATATGTTAGTTCCAATGTACACACTGCTTATGTGTGTTATTAATTCCTCTTTTCGGCTTTTGCTTAATAAAGATAAGAGAACCCTCCTCGAAACGTCGGCAGAAATAAATATTTAAAGATACATTATGGGAGATAAGATAATGTAAAGGCAATTTGCTGAAAATTTCAGTCAAATTGATCCACTATGAACCGAGAATTAAACGATTTAAATTTCGGCCTAGCCTCGATCATCATTACTAAAGTCCGTACGATAAAAAAAAACATAGTCTCGATCATCCATTGCATGATTAAATTATGAATGGAAGTCGAGCAGCAAATGGGATCATAATCCAGTAAATATCGCAGGCTAGCGATGCCATCGAGAGTTGATTATGGTCTGGATAAGTTAATTAATGTCTAATTAATAATTTAGATAACATTTCAAGCCTAAAGAAAGACCTGCAATTAGCAGATTTAGCTCTTGCATAATTTATGTTTAAAGTAGCTAAGTCTTCTAACTCAATATCATCCAAAATCTTCGACATTGAAAACACGAATTATTTGTCAATTTAAATCAACAGTGATGTTGTGACCTTACGGGGAAAAGATGGGCTTCTGATATCCAATAACTGATTAGAAATTGCAGTAAAACAGAAACGATTGAATGTAAATCAGTTTATATACATTCACATTACATTATTATATGCGATGCGACCCATTTGTGTCAATTTCTAGATCCAAAATATTAGCGATTTAGCTCCTTTAAGTAACTTGTATTTCATGTAATTGAGTCATGTTTTTCCTGTTTTGTTTGAAACTATAACTTTATCATATCAACGGTAAGGACCCTATCTTTTGGTGTAATTCATGCCATTGGCTGATTTCGATGTCAAGCGAAATAGTCTCATTTCACGGGCCCTGTTTGAGATGTTCACCATTATGGAAACTTTCGCGAAAGATCCCATTTCGGCAAATTATCATGAGCTAACTTGTATTTCCATAGATTGTAGACCGATCTATTTTAAATTTAGTCATGTAATGCCATTTTTAATATTAACTTTTATTCTAGGGTATTACCAGAATCTGTTCGTTGGCTGCTTTCTCAAAACCGGAATGAGGAAGCGCAAAAATATCTCCAAGAAGTAGCCACTACAAATGACTCGGTACTTCCGCCTTCGATTATGAACAGTCTTCAAGACGACAATACCTTAAAAACTGAGAGAAAATATTTTTTCATAGATTTGATTAAGACATGGTCTATGGCCAAGATTTCTCTTAATGTTTGGTTTAATTGGTAAGTAGTTAGAATCACTTTCCTCAGTAGATTTTATTTAGGCCATTTGCGTTTAGTATTGAGACAGTAATTAGAATCATGATATCAAAGCGAGCACCATTTAAAACCAGCGGCAAATCAGGAAGTTACGATCCGATATTCGCGAATATCGACAGGAACCAAGAACTTGGGTTATAAAAATATATTTCAAGTTTCATCAAAATCGGATCAAAATTGTGATCTCTAGAGGGTCCACAATGATATACTACATATATGATCACAAATTGCGTACGAGGGGAGGCATTTTTGTTTTCATTTTCACGAAATTCGAAATCAACCACCATTAGGGTGTAACGGTAATATATTATTATATTCAAACGGTTTTTTAAATCGAATAAAATTGTTACCTCTAGAGGAACCACAAGCTAAAAACGCGATGTTTCGTACAATCAAGGGTCATAATTCAGGAAATTACAATCCCATATGCGCGAATATCGAAAGGAACTAAGATCTTTGGGTTATAAACATGTACATTATTTCAAGTTTCATCAAAATTGTGGCCTCTAGAGTATCCACAACCTTGATATACCATATATTTACACTATTTGCGTTCGAGGGGTGGCCATTTTCTCCGGCAGTTTTGGTTAGATCTTCACGAAATTTGAACCCATCCATTATTCGGTTGTAACGGTGATATATTTAAACGGTTTTTAAATCAGATAAAAATTGTTATCTCTAGAAGGACCACAAGCTAAAAACGTGATGTTTCTTACAACCAAGAGTCATAATTCAGGCGCGAATATGGAAAGGAACCAAGATATTTGAGTTATAAACATGTATTTAAAGTTTCATCAAAATCGAACCAAAACTTTGATATACCACATTTTTACACTATTTGCGTACGAGGGGCGGCCATTTTGTCCGGCAGTTTTGGTCCGATTTTCACGAAATTCGAACTCAAGCATCATTACAGTGTAATTACGGTGATATATTCGAAGGCTTTTTTTTAAACCGATAATAATTGCAACCTCTAAAGGGACCATAATTCAGGAAATTACAATCCGATATGCGAGAATATCGACAGGATCTAAGATCTTTGGGTTATAAACATGCATTTCAAGTTCATCAAAATCAGATGACAATTGTGACCTCTAGAGTGCCCACAAGCTAAAAACGTGATTTTTCGTACACCCAGGGGCCATAATCCATGAGGTTATAGTCCGATATATGCCAATATATAAAAATTGTGACCTGTAGTGTGTCCACAAACAACGGACGGACAGGGGCGACGACAATATACGTCCACTTGAAAATGTGGGCGTATAAAAACCACGAATTATAAAACACAATAAACAATATCACCGAGTTCCCCAGTTTTAGCCATTTACCTTGTTAGAAATTAAAAGTTTATCTGCCTGTGGGTATAAGAGCCATCACCAACAAAATAAAAACACGATGTATAGAACCCAATAAACGATATCTCGAGTTCCTTAGTTATCGCCAATTAACCTTTCAATAATTTAAAAGGTCACCTAACTGTGGGTATAAGAGTTGCAGCACCCTGTATGAATTGTCATTGGAAACACTGTGTTGGCGAATAACTGCATAGTGTACACCGAAATCAGCGTTATGAAATTCCCAAGTGGTTCAGACATTTTGAGATAAGATCATATTTGAAATAAAATTAATCAACAGACAAGGCTGCAACCGAAGTTTGTTTGACAACATGACGAATGGAAATGGTGTTTCTCAGATGCCAGCTGATGATAATATTTGTTCTATGTTTTTATTTCAAAGGTTTGTAAATGCTTTGGTCTACTACGGCTTGTCGTTAAACACAGAAAATTTAGCAGGTGATCCGTATCTAAACTTCTGTATATCTGGAGCTGTTGAAATACCAGCGAATATATTATGTATAGTGTTTTTAAACAGAGTAGGAAGAAAGGTACCATTAGTTTTATCAATGTGTGTTGGTGGTATAGCTTGCATATTATCAGGAACCATTCCTATAAATGGCAATACAGGTCAGTTATTTGGAATTGTATGTTATTTTATTAAAGATTGTAATATCATAGATACAAAATAATATTAAATATATTACGAAGTTGATCTTTGACTCTACCTTCAAGGACATATAACTTCAGTAGTTTATATTGATTAATTCAGGTTTGGGGTAACGAGATTTAAATGTAATTATATCTAGGTAGTATAAATTAGGTAACAATATTTAGTCTACATGCTAAGGTTTCGGTGAATGCTAAAATTTGAAACATAGAAGCTAGTGTTAATTTTAAGCTGTGTTGCAAAAATTGACGCATTTGTTAAAACAATAGCCACAGCTACATGTGGTACATCATTATCAGAACATGGTCTTTAATAACCATCAGCAATTTCGAGTTTTAGCCTCTTCATTTGCAGATTTGTGGGAAAACAATTCTGTAAGAAATTGATTCTATATGATAATATATTTAATATTTACATTTAATTTAGATATAGAAACATTGACTATCGTATTGGCTATGATTGGTAAATTCTTTATATCGGCATCTTATGCAATTATATATTTATTGGCTGCTGAAGTATTTCCTACTGTTGTACGGTAAGAACGGATCCAATTGTTCCTAAAAATAACCTTAAACAGTATAGACATGTACATCAAAATAATAGCCATGGAAAACGATAGAAGGCGGCCAGTCGTGGTCCTTTGTTCATGTTTTACTCCCGCTGTTGGTCAGATTTTTTTGGGTTGTGTTGTGGTGGTAGCACTTATGATGTCAACGATGGGTCCGTATCAATAAATGGTATCCGGGAACTCGTTATGAGTTATAGGTATAAAAAGTTTCCAAAAAATGTTTCAGTCCGTCTTTTCGCTCTGATTAGCTTTGTTAAAGATAAAGATGTATTATGCCAGAGCTTAGTGTGCCAATTGCTGGTCTTCATTTTGATTTCAAATGTTATACAAACTATTATTTAGATATTTAAACGGATTAAAACACGATCGCTATTGAATGATTTAATTTTAAAATGGTAAATCGAGGCTTAGTCTCGATTAAAAAGTACCGTTGCCACATCTTATCAAAACTTCAAACAGTGTTAACTTCGCTTCGAATAAAATAATTCGAATGAAATTTTCATGATATATTCATTTTTCATTATCTGTTTTGAACTATTATAGCAAACGACCACCTCTTTATCTAAATCTTACATAATTCATTTTTAATTGTTAATTATTACAGGAATATAGGCGTTGGAGTAGCATCTATGTCAGCACGTATTGGTGGTATAATGGTGCCTACAATGTTAGATTTAAGGTCGATCTGGACACCTTTACCGCTGGTTATATTTGGTAGTTTATCTATAGGAGCTGGTATTTTGGCGCTGCTGTTACCAGAAACTACAGGCGAACCACTACCTCAACTGTTGGAGGATGTATCCAACAAAAATAAAACAATGTTAGCACATTATTTTTTCTTTTAATGTCTGTTTATCGACAGGCCCAAATGGTATAACTAGGGTTGGGACAATATAAAAAAAAATCTGCAGGGGTGTTTCTTAGGCCAAATTGCCTGAAAAAAAACGAAAATTGAAGAATTTATAGTATTCGACGATTTTTTCGGTCGGAATGGGGCACATTTTCGAAATGGCCGCCAAAATATGTAAAAATCGTATTTTTAAGCTATTACTTCGAATTAATGCGATTTATTTTCATAAGTATAGACCATTAATGGGATTTTCAACAATATAATTCTGATAAAACGTCACACGAAGCATTTCTCTAACAAATAACTCCAGGAAACCAAGATGGCGGACAAAATCCAAGATGGCGGCCGTATATTGCAAGGATTACCGGATATTTACAGAATAACAACAAACATGTCATTTAATATATCATTTTATAGGATTTTCACTATTTTTTACTTTCTAGTTGACTAAACTTTGAAATCCAAGATGGCGGTCAAAATCCAAGATGGCGATCATATATTGCCGGGGTAACCGGGTATTTACAGTGTAAACATGTCATGTAATATATCATTTTATAGGTTTTTGCTGATTATCTTTCGATGAAAATTAATGTTTTAACGACGCTTAGCAAGTGCTAATTTTAACAAGGTTTCAATGTCACAGTCTTGCTTATATTCTGGATGAACAACAGATTTTATTGAGTTTCTGAGTTCTTAAATAGTGATATTTTGGAATCGGAACAGCCCATTGTCAGACTTGACACGTCGTTTTTGACGGATATCAGGTGCTGTAGTTATCCTCAAATAGCCAATTTCAGAGAGTAGCTGTCATTCATTCAGGTTTTTCAACGAGGTTATTGAAGAGACAGTGACTGGACCTCCGTGTAGTTTACACGTATCCAAAAGTTTTTGCATTTTACCAAATTTTAGCTGTTTCAATTTTTCTTTCTGTTTTAACGCTAACTGTTTGCTTATTTTGACAGTGGCCAAGAAGTCAGCTTCTAATTTCTTCACACGTTTAACATCGTCACTACTCCTGGCCCATTTCCATTTATTTCTGCGCTCTTTATCACCAAGTTCTGTAAATTTCTCATCAGCTAATAGTCCATTAGTAGCAATAATGCATTTTTTCGAATGCGTTTCCACTTTAGTCATCCCTCCTGCAATTTTCATCTGGTTATCGAGTCTTGCGAAACTAGACTCACATCCCATATTAGTAATAGGAGCATACCTTAGTTTTTTTTTCATCAATCGTACTCGTAGTTTCGTCATCGAAATAGTCAATCTGTAATAGCTGTCTATTTGAAACATCAATGATTTCTTCAATGATGGTTCCGATTAACTGTCCTTTTCCGGTCAATGTTTGTCTGAATCGCTTTCGCAGTGTCGTTAATTTTTCAAACGTATCACTGAAAAAAGCTCGTACATTCGCCCAACTGTGCTCTGACTCGCATTTACGACCATCTATTCGACCACAAATCCCTTAAAGCCGTTAGATTCTAAGTTATTGTTTTCCAACCAGTTCACAAATTCATTATAAAGAGACACAGAGTGTGCTGCGTGACTTGGTGTAAGTAATTTTGTGATAGTTATTAGTCCGACAGTCAAAATACTAGATGATGGTGAACGAAAAATACCGGAGCAGTCTATCAGTTTTTCAATTCCGATTCTTTGCTCTGTTTCTTTGAGCACTTTTTCTACACCGCTATCCACACCAAGAATTATATGGGCGCAGCATTTGAGAACCTTATCATTGTCAACATTGAGGTATTGGAGCATGGTGCTACAATCGACAGCACGGTCCGTCATCCAAAAGTCAATGTGCTCTTTAAGCTCTTCAGTTGAACAATCGGCCAGAATTGCTAAACTTTTCAGTTTAAAATCGTACGACTTGGCGGCATCTTTACCATAATGTGAAATGTTTTCAGCGTTACCAGTTGTAAACGTCTTCTTGTCCGCTGTTGGTCCTGCTACAGTAATGTGATCCGTTTTGATGTTGAAAAATCTATGGCCTGCCGATTTTGTGGTGTCGTCTAAGCCGACAGTGATTGTGTTATCAGAACTAACAGCAAGGTGTCTAGCTACCATCTCCAAATTGAGGTAAGAGGCATCCTCTAAGTAGTTTCGTATCGACTTTCTACTAGGCATTATATAGGTACGATCGTTACATCGCCATCGCCGCTTTGGAGCATCCATCACCTGGTCTTCATAATCATCACTATCGTTTTGTTCCATGTCTTCATCGTCACTCATCTTCCAATTTTGATGAAAGACTCCATTGGCTAAATCGACACAGATGCCTAATAAATCGTTAGTAGTGACTTTGTACTTTGACAGACTTTGTACGAGATAGCAAATCAACGGCTCATTGAATGTCATATATCCTGTCAGGATTTTGACAGATGGAAAGTCAGAACCGATTTCTTCAAAACCCGTAATGACGTAGAGATGGAGTCTGTATCAAAATTTGCATAAGCAGGATCACGAGTTTCTGAGTCCGGTATATCTTTAATTGCAGCTACGATTTCACGCATGTTGATTTCCATTTGAGTCTCATTTTCATCAATGATAGCTTTCTTTGTCTGTTCTTGTGATATTTGAAGTGCTGCCACCCTACGTTTCTGCTTTAGCCAATAACGAGGAACCGTTTCAGTACAGCGGGCGATGTAGTTACCTTTACAATTATCTTCATAAAACGCATTGTCCTCGGGCATCATTTTCACATCGAATTCTGTCTCAAGTTGTTTTTCGTACAACGGGTCAGTGGCTCTGATATCATACGCCCTGATGGTTATTTTATCGTTGAAGTTTGAAACTTTACTGCGCCATCGATTACATCTGTTTCCCGGACTTTTCTCGCGTTTTCGCATATTGAGCAAAAAGTCATAATCCTCATGGAGACGTTTGGCCACAGATCGTCCACTAAGCGGATACACATTTTTACTGATCCAATCATGACGTAATTCACCAGCAACTATTTTACTAGCTTCGTCTCTGCTTACTATTTTCCTCCCTGTAGCAGGTTCCTTACCCAGCGACGCCATTCTACCCAATAAATACTTGCCAGTTGGTAACCTTGCGCCCTTTGCATACCCAGGTACTTCGTGGTAAATTACGCCAAACAGTTCTTTCCTCACACCAGAACGGCGAAATTCCATATTGTGAATAACAATTATAAGCTTAGTTAAACAAATTGGTACTACATGTATGATTACGAAAATCGAAAACGTATGTGACTATTGCACGTCATCATTTATGACGTCATTTTCTGACGTCAGAATTGGTGTAGAAAAAATTCAAAATTATTCCACTCAAAAGTAAAATACGTTACACGACATGGTTATCGTTACTCTGTAAATGTCCGGTAATCCCTGCAATATATGGCCGCCAGCTTGGATTTTGGCCGCCATATTGGATTCCAGGAGCTATTTGCAAGAGAAATGCTTTGTGTGACGTCTTATATAAGTTTTATAACGTTGAAAATCCTATTAATGGTCTATATTTAGGAAAATAAATCGCACTAATTCGAAGTAATAGCTTAAAAATACGATTTTTGGCTATTTTGGATCCATTTTGGCGGCCATTTTGAAAATGTGCCCCATTCCGACCGAGAAAATTGTCGGATACCAAAAATTCTTCAATTTTTGTATTTTTCAGTCAACTTGGCCTCAGAAACACCCCTGCAGAACAGTAGCATACGAAAAAGAGAATTATTGTCCCAACCCTAGTATAACAGTAGTCGACAAGTAAATTCGTTAGTTGTGAAGGTATCACTTTCTATCGTCACCTTGTCATTGGGTCTAGTAATTTTTACTGGACCCTTGTATTTAGGTTGAGATCTGTACCTTTTACCTCAAAAATATATAATTTAATATTTTTAAACAGGAAATTAGAAATTGAGGATAAAGGAAAGGAGAAGTATGATAATACAAGGTTGTAATGGGTGCAGCTTGGAGTGTGTTTGTGTGATACAGGATTATTTAGGTTGAGAGCTGTACCTTTTACATAAAAAATATATAATTTAATATTTTTAAACAGGAAATTAGAAATTGAGGATAAAGGAAAGGAGAAGTATGATAATACAAGGTTGTAATGGGTGCAGCTTGGAGTGTGTGTGTGTGATGCAGGATTAAATGCTGTAATTCTTTGCGCTTTAGTGTGATATTGTTTTACGATCTTGGAATGCAACTTCTTGGATTACATTGATTTATTGAGGAATAATACATAATAAATTTGGGTTGAAAAAGTGAGCTCATTGGAATATCTTATCTTAGTAACCAGACATCTGTGAAATATTTGTGTTTCAAATGCAAAGCATTTTTACCAGTTTGTGAAATAGATCTATTGCATATAGCATCAATGGTCTAAGACTTTCGTTTTGAGTTGAAATATATTTGATTCCACTTCTACATTAAATTTTACAAGTTATATATTTCTGTTTGAATTTTTGTACGCCCACATGTATATTGTTGTCGTCCTGGATTCCTTTCGATAATGGCATAAATCAGACTATAACTTCATGGATTATGGCCCTTGGTTGTACGAAAATTCACGTTTTTGGCTTATAATGGACACTCTACAGGTCACAATTTTCATCTGATTTGGATGAAACTTGAAAGACACATTTATAACCCAAAGATTTTGATTCCTGTCGATATTCGCGCATATCGGATCGTAACTGCCTGAATTATTGCCCTTGATTGTACGAAAAATCGCGTTTTAGCTTGTGGTCCCTCTAGAGGTAACAATTTTTATCCGATTTGAAAAATGGCTGAGTTCGAATTTCGTGAAAATTGGGTCAAAACTGCTGGACAAAATGGCTACGCCTCGTACGCAAATAGTGTAAATATATGGTATTTCAAGGTTGTGGACCCTCTAGAGGCCACAATTTTGCTCCGATTTTGATGAAACTTGAAATGCATGTTTATAACCCAAATATCTTGGTTCCTTTCGATATTCGCGAATATCGGATCGTAACTTTCTGAATTGTGGCCATTGATTGTACGAAAAATTTCGTGAAAATAGGACGAAAACTGCCGGACAAATGGCCGCCCCTCGTACGCAAATTATTTAATAGTGTATGGCATATCAAGGTTGTGGACCCTCTAGAAATCACTATTTTGATCCGATTTTGATGAAACTTGAAATATATCTTTATAACCCAAAGATCTTGGTCCATGTCGATATTCACGCATATCGGATTGTAACTTCCTAAATTATGGCCCTTGATTGTACGAAAAAATTGCTTTTTGTTTAGCTTGTTTTCTATCCATCTCTTGCAAAATCTGGGCGTATCTGCCTGCCAGCCGCTGGTCTACACTATTATTTATTTTTTGAATCCAATTTCGCATTGCTACTTACAAGGTGGGCACAGTGGGTTGTTAAGTCGATTGGACAAATAACGTTAGAAAACAACGACAAATCCATCACATTTCGATGATCTTAATCTTTATAACCACACAAAGCACAATATCATCTTGAAAGGGGTTGGTTGACCATTTCAACTTTTTGCTAGACCTGGGCAGTGACGTCATTTTAGTAGACGATCACCTAAATTCATGCCTGTTTACTTCCTGAATCTTCCGCAACAAAATCAGAAATATTCACCAAAATCCGACAGAAAATGAATATTTAGACACTCCTCTTTGATTCTAGACTTAATAGTCAACAAAATTTGACATGCAACAAGGTGGGGCCGGGGTTTAGATGGAGGCAATACCAGTCTTACTCCGTTTGGAGGTAGACCCCAACTGATTATTTCTACATGTCTTCAATGTTAATACTGTCTATTTGCCCGGATCCAACCTACAAACATAGCAACACATGGCCATGTCTTTTCTCTATAATTTGTATGAGGTTGACCACTGAAATGTAGGGATATACAAAGTAGCATGCTAAAAGAATTGGCAGAAGATGTTAATTCAAACCCTTTACTTCGATTCTAGAACAAAAAATCGACAAATATGACCATGCAAAAGGGTGAATGGGGAAAAACGGATATTATAAAACAGAATCTAAGGTTGCAGGTCGCAATTAATTTCCCCATACTCATTCTGTTCTCTTTGCCCCGCTTGAAACTTTCCCTAAATTTTCTTTGGGCTGAACGTTTTTCACTACATTCTGAGATAAAGGGCAATTATTTATAGATATCTTGGCCAGTATACAGACAAAGTGCAAATCGGTTGCATTGACAGTAATTGTAAGGAACTATAATATAATGAAACTTGTAAGTACACCCACCAAAAATGTCACAGTCTGAACAAATTCAACTAGATTGCTTAATGTTCTACTATCCCTGTACATATAAACACAAGTGTGGATTGGTTGGGGGTCATTGGAAGAGTTACCTCCCATTAAATGCCTCACTACACTATGTTCATAAACAGTCAAACCTCTCAGTTTATTCCTGTTTTATTGATTTGGCCAAGGCTTTTGATTTTTTTCAGAGAGAAAGTCCATAGAATAAACACTTTAAATCACGTGTAAATGGTAAGATTTTGAACGCAGTACAATCTTTATACACAAATTTATACAATAAGAGCAGTTTATGTGAGTAACCATACACAACAGACTGGTTTGACGTTAATTTAGAAGTTAAATAAGGATGTCTTCTGTCACGAACATTATTCTCCGTTTTTATAAACGATCTTGCTGAGGGAATCTGTAATTTAAACTTAGGTATAGAAATAGGCAGTGTAACTCTAAGTACCATGCTTTATGCTGATGTTATTGTGCTTCTTAGCTTTATTAGCTTTACAATATTATGCTTGAGAGGAATGGCTTATTCTGTATTATAATAAACTCTACGAATCTTATGCAAGTCAGAAAAGGGGTGACGTAGTAGGAGCGACTCTGACATATTAGAGCAGGTTATCCAGTCTATCCCGTGATGCACTACAGGTAACCCAGTAAAGTCTTATCTATGCCTAGATAGGGTTGCGCGCTTTTTACGGATTTATCAAAAGTTTGATAAAAACATAAAAATAGGATGTATTTATTCTAACCCTATCAACAGAGTTGAACCAATATTGGTTAAAAATACAGAAAATCCAGGAAATGGTAGATTTACAGATAAGTCTGATCTCTTTCGTGAAAACAGAAATAGAAGAACGGAGACACCAACTTTAGCAAGTAACCAACAGGGGTGGATTAGCCGACATAAAGTTCGAGCGTCTGGAGGTATAAGTTTTGAGGTAGTGGAGGCTAGTCCCAGGAAACCACCACCGGCAAAATTACAGAAAAGAGGGGTTAACGGTGTCACAGAGGAACAGATAAAAGCCAAGTTGGAGAAAGCAGAGAAAAGGCGAAAGGTTAGCTAAAAAGAAATACCTTAACTCCATCCATACCCATCGACTGCAATAATGTAGAGTGACGAATTGACTTACGAATATAATTCGCCACCAATTCACAGAGACCGTCGTAGGTGTTCGTGAACATTCGCGGTTGTAAATGTGGGGTTGTGAATGTTAGGAACATGCCCCTAAAAATACTATTCTGGTTGCTTTCGCAACACTTTCGTAAGCAATCACAAGCCATTATAATTGACGGCAAAGTATGTGAGATGGTTGTAAGACATTTGTAAGGAATTAATTAGCAGCGGTATCGAAAATGATACGATTGGTCTGGAGAAATATTGAAAACAGCGAGGCCTTACAAATGTTTTATAAATGTTTGCTAAATTCTTAGGAGTTTTTTTTTTAGGCAATTCGCCACGCATGCGTTGTGGTCGTTTCATTCGTAATGCGCTCGCAAGCATTGACAAGGACATTCGTAAGCAATACGCAAGCACCTTTTTTTCAGTATTTCTCCAGGCCAATCTTGTTATTTTTGGCGCATTTGCCGCGAATTTAAAATTTTCATAATAGCATGCAGGGTATTCGTCAGTGAGAGTAGCATAACAACACAAACTGTGGACGATATCCTTTTCATCGTATATGCCTCATATTTATCTTTATCTAGATAAGATTTTCGAATATTAACTCTGTCTGTGCTATTTCCAGTAAATGACACCTTGACGACCTACTCTTGAATAATCACCCACTACCCTCTTTTCGAAAAGGTTGGATTCGCCCCGGAATCTTGTGTTACAGTAAGAGTAAGTACAAATAGTCACATGTCCACAGTTTGTGATGTAAAAGTCAGCACAACACGTCATTTATTACTTTTTGTTTTCAATAGGAAATAAAAGAGGGTATGATCAAGAAGCTCCTCCATGAATGTACAGAAAAGAGAGCAGCATTTGAAAAACTCGAACAAAAAAAGATCATGGAAAAACAAGAATTACAAAAAGATAAAATGGTGGCTGCCGAACAAAATAGACAGATGAGATAATAAGAATTAAAAGATAGATTGAGAGAAAAACAAAATAAGTCAGAGATAGTAAGAAGCAGAAGACAAATAACTGGAGATCATATCGGCGCTTCTTTGGTCAGTCGAGGTGGAACACAAACCTCGGCTGGTTTCATCTTCGAAATCCTTCACATCAACCCAACACTACCATAAGGACACTCAGCAAGGCTAGAAACCCTTAGAGTAAATTGGAGAAGGGAAAACAAAAACAAAACTTAAATGGACGTGAGGTCAGTAATACTACTGTCCACTAATTCGAAAGGACTGGTTAACATCTCGTCGATACAATATCGGTCATTTTACGACTATATAACTATAGTACTGTAGTTTATAGTTTCATGGTCAAGTGTGTCAAATTATTGTCCCAAGACAACGACTTTTCTGCCAACGCGTCAACTGTCCAAAACGCCCAATCTGTACATGGGTTTAGCACGTTTTTTCGTCCCATTAAAACCAGCACTTTCCGAGACAGCACCACAGACGGTAGTCAATAGGTGCACGAACCCGATGAGCTTTTTTTAACAGGGTAGTAGTAGTATTTCTAAAATTAGACGGCCTCGATCGCGTATTCCTGCCATTCCAGGCTGACAACAGTAACTAGAAATTATAGTCCAATAGAGCCTTGCAACCGAAATCCTACCCTGTGCCGACCCGGATTTCTCACTTTCTTCTCTGTCAGAAAAATCTGATTGTCCTACACTCATGACACGCGGCTCGTGCACTTGTCCCTCATGAGTTCAGTACAGTTTTGAATAAATTAAAATTGCTTTCTCTATTTTGTTCAATAGAAAAGGGAAGAAGACAATATAATGCCAAAGCTGGCAGCAGTAATCATGAAAGAAAAAGAGGAATTTCAGAAAGAAAAAATGATGAATGCCCAATGAATAGAGAGAAAAGATTATTGGAGAAAGGCTGAGGGCGAAAGAAATGCGTGCAGTGAGAATAAGACAGATAAAAGATTTAAATCTAGATGATCTCTATCCATCATAACTGAAAGTTTATGAATTTCCATCATCAGAGTTATCACTTTAAGGAGAAATCTAGGCTATATTTTAGTGAATATAACTGAATAATTCTTTGT